GTACATGCTCAATGACATTATATAGTTTCCTGTTACCCACACATGCCTAATCACTGCTCACTATAGCAGTTATTCATTAATTGATAAATTTATTACTAGTCAAAACTTATCAATAATCACTACAAGGTATGACAGACTGTAATATTGAAATGACATAATAATCTATCAGCACAATGTAAACACACTTATGTGTGTGGGGGACAGTATTTAATTGTTACGACGAGTTTTCATCTCTGAGAACTTGAGACTAATGCTTGCACCTTCCCAATGGTACCAATTAATTGATTGATGATTATTAGTTGCAGTATTAAAATAACGACCATTAAGATTTGAATGATAGCAGCTATTATACCACCAGGCATGCACCAGTGTAGGTGCTGAGCACAGTTACCACTATTACTATCATTATCATTATCTCTTGTAGTGAATCTCCTTCCATTATGATAGGCCAGACTATCCCCAGCAGTACCAAAGTATCCTCCTACTGTTAGTATATATTCATTACTACCATCACTAACACTGAATGTAGAGTAGTTAGCATAAGCTGTGTTCCCCTCAAAGTCTACCAGGTCCACTCTTAGTGTGTTTAATCCTTCTTTAGTAAGACGATGAATCTTGCTCAATCCTAACCAAAACTCACCAGTAAGGTCACCAAATCCATTCTCATAGTCAGTCCAGTTCCTATAGAAATCAACAGATCCATCTTGTCTCCTCTGAAATACAGTCCATCCACCACCATCAGTTTCCATATCACAGTATACCTGTGATCTAATAGTGTATAATTATAAATTACTTTCAACTAACTTGAAATGGAGTCCCTCCATCAGGATTAACAGTATAAACACCACTTGTAGTAACACTATCCTCAAACAAGCTCTTACAATCCCTGCCTATATTACAAGAATTAAACTCTTGTACTATTATTGCAGTACCTTTTTGACAAGACTTTGGGTATACATTAGGACAGAAAATATGTTGTGTTATACCAGTTTCTTTGATAGAAAAAGCCAGTCCTAAGTTTCTGCTGTTACAGCATGTCCTTATAAACAGTGACGGTTCATGTTCATATCCTGTACTAGCCATACAATAAGATCCTTCTCCTTCATCAATGGTAACTATTAAACACAGCAACAAAAAAATAAAGATGAACATCTTTAAAATTTTACTAGACAGTGCGTGAGTTTAACAAGGACTGGAATTTAAACTATGTATCACCTAAGCTTCTGTAGTTTATTTGTATAATTGTAACTGTTTTTCTTACAGCTTTAGCTAATTTTTATAGTAAATTCCATTTTATAGATGTGCACTTAGCTTACACTTACATGTATTTTTGAGAGAAGTTGTAGTGTTGTGTAGCTTCATGATGCTTCAATAGCAGCTTTAATTTATTTTAGTTAATAAAAGTCAAAATGTTAATAGTTATTAATAATCTCTACAAGGTATGGCAGCTTATTGAAATGGCATAATATATCAGCACAATGTAAACACACTTATGTGTGTGGAGGACGATATTTAATTGTTACGACAAGTTTTCGTCTTTGTAAACTTGAGAGTAGCGTGTGACTTTTTCCAATACCACCAAGTAGTACCTTGAGCAGTACTAGTTGCTATGTTAAAATAACCACCATTAAGATTTGAATGAGCACAGGTATTGTACCACCAGGCAACAGTACGGTACTGAGCACAATTACTATACCATGGATCATTATCATTATCTCTTGTACTGAATCTCCTTCCATTATGATAGGCCAGACTATCCCCAGCAGTATCCACCTACTGTTATAGTATATATTCAGTACTACCATTACCAACACTGAATGTAGAGTAGTTAGCATAAGCTGTGTTCCCCTCAAAGTGTCCCAGGTCCACTCTTATATAGTGTGTTTGATCCTTCTTTAGTAAGGCAATGAATCTTGCTCAATCCTAACCAAAACTCACTAGTAAGGTCACCAATTCCATTCTTATAGTTGGTCCAGTTCCTATAGAAATCAACAGATCCATCTTGTCTCCTCTGAAATACAGTCCATCCACCACCATCAGTCTCCATATCACAGTATCTGTGATCCAATAGTGTATAATTATAAGTTACTTTTTTACTAACTTGAAATGGAGCCTCTCCATCAGGACTAACAGTTATAAATACCACCTGTAGTAATAACATCAAGCAAGCTCTTACAATCATCTACTATATATATTGCAAGAATTAAACACTTCTACTATTATTGCAGTACCTTTTTGACAAGACTTTGGGTATACATTAGGACAGAAAATATATTGCATTTTGCCAGTTTCTTTTATAGAAGAAGCCTGTCCTAAGTTACTGCTGTTACAGCATGTCCTTATAAACAGTGATGGCTCATGTTTATATTCAGTACTAGCCATACAATAAGATCCTTCTCCTTCATCAATGGTAACTATTAAACACAGCAAAAACAGCATAAAAATGAAAATCTTTGGCATTTTACTGTAGACTAAGACAGAAAAAAATAATTGTATTGTACCAATTTAATTTGATAGAAAAAGCCTGTCCTAAATTTCTACTGTGCATGACATCTTTTTATAGAGCAATGGCTCTTGTTTCTAACAAATTATATCCAGTACTAGCTGGCTATACAATAGTATCTTCATCAATGGTAATTATTAAGCACAGGAACAACAACATAAAGATGAACATTTTTGGCATGTTACTATGACCTTCCTGGCATGGTTTACATGACAAATTTTAGTTGGATTGTAAATGATTTCTCAGTAAAATTATTGCACTATTACTATCTCAGGTATACTCCAAATTGTTGTACTTCTTATCTCACTTGGTAAGCTGTGATAGAAAATTGGATGTTGTGACTAATAAGTGGTCAGACTGTATTCATACCGTATGGGGTTTTATTTGTTAGTATAAAATTTTACAAATTTGCCCAGATTTGCCATTAATTGATTTGTTGGTATAAATTTTCACGAATCTTTCCTTCAGCAGCCATTTTTTCTAGCATGCCATGCCTCTATTTTGAAATTTAATTTTGTGAAAATGCAAAATTAGCAAAATTTATTTCCAGTGAAATATAACCCCTGTACTTTACCATATAGCACTTTATTTTGGCGATTTTGCTGTAAAACTATAATTAGCAGTTTTTGATTTGGCAATCTTTGTGTATACATGTACATGTGCAATACTGAGCATGCACATTAATGATTGGCGGTTTTAATTTTGGGGATTCACCTTACAGTATATGATTGTTTTTGAGAATGTTTTAGCCGCCTTATAAGCATTCCTCCTTCTCACTAAGACTTGTAGAGGTCTGTCTACCTTCTATTGCCTTTGGAATACAACAGTAGTTGGTGTTATCTTGCTGGTAGGCAGCTTTGGACTTTGTCTCTTTTGACTGCCGCCCGTTTTGCTTGTTCTGGCAACACCTACATGTACTTGTACTTCATGCATGTATGTGTAATTTGCTTGTAGGCAGAGAGATATTTAAGGCATTTATATCTAAACTACAATTTGTACTGTTCATGTACATTATTTATTAACTAAATCAATAGTCAATAATTATTAATAATGACTACAAGGTATGACAGACTGTAATATTGAAATGACATAATAATAATATTAGCACAATGTAAACACACTTATGTGTGTGGGGGACAGTATTTAATTGTGACAACGAGTTTTCATCTCTGAGAAAGAGAGAGTAGCATATGAATTTTTCCATAATTACCAAGTAATTTCTTGTTGATTATTAATTGCAGTATTAAAATAACGACCATTAAGATTTGAATAATAGCAGTCATAATACCACCAGGCACCAGTGGAGTACTGAGCACAATTATATCTTGACAATGCATCGTTATCATTATCTCTTGTACTGAATTTCATTACATTTTGCTGGGCAAGACTATCCCCTGCAGCAGTACCAAAGTATCCTCCTACTGTTAGTATATATTCAGTACTACCATCACTAACACTGAATGTAGAGTATAGTTAGCATAAGCTGTGTTCCCCTCAAAGTCTCCCAGGTCCACTCTTAGTGTGTTTGATCCTTCTTTAGTAAGATGATGAATTTTGCTCAATCCTAACCAAAACTCGCCAGTAAGGTCACCAAATCCATTCTCATAGTCAGTCCATTTCCTATAAAAATCAACAGATCCATCTTGTTTTCTCTGAAATACAGTTCATCCACCACCATCAATATCCATATCACAGTATACCTGGGATTTGATATTGTATAGTTATAAATTAGTTTTAACTAACTTCAAATGGAGTCCCTCCATCAGGAGTAACAGTATAAACACCACTTATATCAAAACCAGTCTCAGACGAGCTCTTACAGTTTCTATTATCTACAATAAGTATATCATGAACTATTCCAGCTATATGCAGTACCTGATGGGCATGACTTTGGTCGTACTTTATGACATAGAATATATCTTGTTTTACCAATTCCTCTAATGGTAATAGTCTGTCCTAAGTTACTAATGATACACCCTACTCTTATATACAGTGATGATTCATGTTTATATCCAGTACAATCAGCCATACAATAAGATCCTTCTCCTTCATCAATGGTAACTATTAAACACAGCAACAACAGCATAAAGATGAACATCTTTGACATTTTACTTGACTGTATGTGTGTTGTGTGTATAATAGGAACTGGAATTTAAACAATTGAATCAACTTGTTCATTTACCTTCTGTGATGGAAGTTATATTTTTACTTATTTAATTATTAATGAAAACAGTAGTAGGAATAAGTTCTGCAGTTAATTTTGTTGGCATTTCCTGCAATTTTAACCATATTATTTTTATTTGTACTTTTTGTTATGCTCTGATTGTGTGTGTTTGTTGCATGTTATATCTCTTTATAGCAATTTGCAGCATATAAATTTATTGTAATTAATAAAAGTTAGCAAAAATCACTACAAGGTATGGCAGACTGTAATATTGAAATGACATAATAATATATCAGCACAATGCAATCGCACCTATGTGTGTGGGGGCAGTAATTAGTTGTTTGGACGAGTTTTCATCTCTGAAAATGAGAGAGTAGTTGACTTCCAATGGTACCAAGTAATTCCTTGACCAGTAACAATTGAAGTATTAAAATAACGACCATTAAGATTTGAATGACGGCAGCTGTTATACCACCAGGCACCAGTAAAGTACTGAGCACAGTGGCGCCCATCATTATCATTATCATTATCTCTTGTACTGAATCTGTATCCATTATGATAGGCCAGACTATCCCCAGCAGTACCAGAGTATCCTTCTACTGTTAGTATATATTCAGTACTACCATCACTAACGTTAAATGTGGAGTAGTTAGCATATCTTGTGTCATTATCAAAGTCTCCCAGGTCCACTCTTAGTGTGTTTGATCCTTCTTTAGTAAGTCGATGAATCTTGCTCAATCCTAACCAAAACTCACCAGTAAGGTCACCGAATCCATTCTCATAGTCAGTCCAGTTCCTATAGAAATCAACAGATCCATCTTGTCTCCTCTGAAATACAGTCCATCCACCACCATCAGTCTCCATATCACAGTACACCTGTGATCCAATAGTGTATAGGTTATAATATGTAGTAACTAACTTCAAATGGAGTCCCTCCATCAGGATTAATATTATACAGGCCACTAGTAGTGCTACCATTGTTATACCAATCCTTACAGTCTGTAAGAACTGAATTTAGTTTTTAAATGATTATTATATTGTCTTTATTTACCTATTGGTTGTGTGTTATCTATTGATGGTGGACAGGTTTGTGGTTTTACATTAGGACATACCATGATAGTTTTCGCCCTTCCTTCTCTCAAATGAATAGTCTGTCCTAAGTTACTGATGATACAGCATGTCTTTATATACAGTGATGGTTCATGTTTATATCCAGTACAATCAGCCATACAATAAGATCCTTCTCCTTCATCAATGGTAACTATTAAACACAGCAACAATAACATAAAGATGAACATCTTTGACATTTTACTAGACTGTATGTGTGTGTTTAATAGGAACTGGAATTTAAACTATTGAATAAACTATACTACATGTACTTACTATAATAGAAATTATATTTTACTTACTTAATTACTTGTGAAAACAGTAGTAGCATCACTTAGTAGGGCCTGCCATATAGCAAGAAACTATTTGCCCAAAGTTTTTTTGTAAGTTTTTAAATTGTTAAAATCATGAAATTGAATCTTGAAAACTGATAAAATATGACCATAATAGTAAAAGATTTAAAAACTTCAATAATTTTTTTATTTACTAAAGTTTTGAGCCACAAATTTATCTTGCTATATACATTGTAAATTTATTTAGGTTTATATGATCTAGCTAAATAAAATACAATTCAATCTCTAAAAAGTGGACGCTTTGGGTAATAGCTTTTGCCTTTATTTAGAGGCTATTTTGTACCTTTTATTGGCTTCAGTATGAATACTAGTGCACCTCCTAAACAATGTAAATTAAATGGTACATTGCTAACTTTGTGTATTACTATGCACCTTCTCTTAACAAGCACCTCACTGTGAGTTTGATGATTTTACTATTTAAAAAAATGCATCACCTTGACACATAATTATTTTTTATAAGGTGTGCCAATGAAGTTAGTGAAGGTATTGTATATCCTCAAATTAAAGCCAGGTGCAAATAAACCCCGGGTTAGCAATAATATGGAACTATTAGCCTTGTAGATACCTCCTTAAGCTTTCATAAGTCACTTGTGTTAGGTTCCAGGTTCAAATTCCACTGTTGGTTCAGGTTTTATTCTATTTTTAATTTTTGAGGTCCAATTGTCATTTTAAGAAATAGACGCCTGGGCTTTTATAAATTATAGAAATCACTACAAAGCATGATGGACTGCAATATTTTAAATGGCATAATAACATATCAGCACAATGTAAACACACTTATATGTGTGGGGGGAGAGCATTTAATTGTTACGATGAGTTTTCATCTCTGTGAACTTGAGAGTAGTGTATGATCCTTTCCAATGCCGCCAAGCAATTCCTTTAGCATTAATAATTGAAGTGTTAAAATAATGACCATTAAGATTTGAATAATGGCAGCTATTATACCACCAGGCACCAGTGTACTTCTGAGCACAATTACTATACCATACATCATTATCATTATCTCTTGTACTGAATCTCGATCCATTATGATAGGTCAGACTATCCCCAGCAGTACCAGAGTATCCTCCTACTGTTAGTATATATTCAGTACTACCATCACTAACATTAAATGTAGAGTAGTTAGCATAACTTGTGTTCCCCTCAAAGTCTCCCAGGTCCACTCTTAGTGTGTTTGATCCTTCTTTAGTAAGACGATGAACCTTGCTCAATCCTAACCAAAACTCACCAGTAAGGTCACCAAATCCATTCTCATAGTCAGTCCAATTCCTATAGAAATCAACAGATCCATCTTGTCTCCTCTGAAATACAGTCCATCCACCACCATCAGTCTCCATATCACAGTACACCTGTGATCCAATAGTGTATAATTATAAATTACTTTTGACTAACTTTGAATGGAGTCCCTCCATCAGGATTAACAGTATAAACACCACTTGTACTAATACCATCCTCAAACAAGCTATTGCAGTCTCTATTATCTAGTTTCATGGTATCAGTATATTATTAATGTTTTAACTATTTTGCCTAGTTTACCTAGTGATGGACAAGCTTGTGGCCTTACATCAGGACATACCACGATAGTCTTCACTCTTCCTTCTCTGATACGAATAGTCTGTCCTAAGTTACTAATGATACAGCATACTCTTAGATACAGTGATAGTTCATGTTTATATCCAGTACAATCAGCCATACAAAAAGATCCTTCTCCTTCATCAATGGTAACTATTAAACACAGCAACAACAACATAAAGATGAACATCTTTGACATTTTACTTGACTGTACATGTGTTTTGTGTTTAATAGGAACTGGAATTTAAACAATTGAATACATTAGTACATGTACAGCATTGGACAGGTACAAGTTGACAAACTTAGCTTACTAAGATAAAACTATGTGGAGATGCACACACTTTATTCTAGTTTGTTTGTCAACTTGTACCTGTCCGGTGCTGTACCTACTGTAATGAAAATTCTATTTTTACTTAATTATTTGTGAAAACAGTAGTAACATCACTTAGCATGGCCTGCCATATAGCAAAAGAAACTTTTCCCCCATTATTCTTTTAAATCATGCAACTAAATCTTGGCAGCTGATTGAATATAACCAGAAGTAGAAGATTATGAAAATTTGAGATGTTCAAAATTATTATTTAGTTTTATATTACCGTCAATTATAATTTTACAGCCAAGTTGCCAAATTAAAGCGCTATACGGTATTTCTTGACAGAATGGTACTGTTGTGATGATACTGTGTAAGTTTTTATTTGACTATGTTGTGGTGGGCATTGAATGCTTCTAATTTTGGGAGTGGCAGATGTTTTGTTTGTACAATGTTATAATTGGCAATTGTAATCACGCTGTGTGACTGCATCATTTGTACTTGTTTGTGTCGATGGTAATACAAATATAAAT